TCTTGTTCTCGCGCTTAGAGTGATGCTGAGTGATGCAATGGCCCCCGAAAGCATGCTTGCTGCATGCAGAACACAAGGGAAGAGGACGTGTGACGTGCCATTGGCTCACAGCGGATAGCTGTCTAGAAAGTATCGTAGCAATGCCTTGGATCGTAGAGAGCTCCGAGAGAAAAGTAAAAGGGACATTATTTACTATTTGTGTGTGTGGCCTCAAGGCCTTGAAGAAAAGAAAGCTGGGAAAATATAATTGGGACGCGACTGCCGTTGCTCAAAAGCAAAAGGCAGATTTGGCTAAGTTGCAGGTGTCATCAGCTGTAATATACTTCACACGCGCTCCATGCCGGCCTTCTATTATCATGGAAATAATCTGTGGATATTCACCCGCTGCTGAGGCGCTTCTTGATCAATTGTGACAGTTCTTTCGCCATGAATTGCGATGATTGCGAAAGCAGTTTTGCAATTTCTGTATGCTTGCTCTTGGGGTCTTTGGCTGCAACCTCGATCATAACTTGATCACCCACATGATAAAAGAGCTGTGACCGCTTCACATTCTTACGGTAAGTACGGCCACTCATGGCTATCCAGCGAGTATTCCATCAGGAGTGCTCGTACAACTTGGAGGACATCTTTGTTCAGTCTTTCTACTGTTCCGTTTAACCAGGGGGAGTACACAGCCGTAAAGTACAGCTCCATTTTCAATCGGGTGGCCAAGTGCTGCACCATTTCATTACGGAAATGCGTGCCTTGATCTGATAGCAGTGTCTGAGGCAGGCCACACCGGGAATACCACATCAGCAGCGCCTCCACAGCCACGTATGCCGACGGCGTAGCACACGGAAACAGCTCACAGAAATGCGAAAGTCCGTCCTTGACCACGAGAAGGTAGGTTGAGTCTCCAAACCCAGCTATGGACTGCCGGCCTCATCAGCGTTGGATATATTGGTTGTTCCAGCCACTGAAACCTCCGTTGAGCGAGTCGTGGAACTTGGTGATATGAACGACAAACTCGATAGTCTACGCGTTTCGCTACAGGACCTACATCGCTAGGTGAACGACACTAAAGAGCACAAGCGGCTGCAGGCCATGAGAGCTCACAAAGGTACGTCGGTGAACTTTGATGTGGGCAACTTCGTGCTTTGGTCAAGAATCGACCAACGACTCCCCAATCACAAGCTTCTAGGCCAATGGATTGGCCCGTTGTGAAGGCGCTGCCTCACTCGTTCGAAGTCAAACACTTGGTGACGGGACGTGTCTATGACGTGCATGCTTCGAGACTAACGTTTTATGCTGATTCGACCCTAGACACTACGAAGGAGCTACTAGAACTCGTTTCGGGTCAAGGTATGATGCTGGGTGTCGAACGAATCATGGATCATCGTTTCAATCACGAATACGGACGATGGGAGCTGATGGTGGCCTGGGTCGAGCTTCAGGCGATTGAAAACTCGTGGGAGGCGCTCGCTACGCTTGTTCAGGATGTACTTATTAAAGGGCGCAACTACGTTGCTACTACGGCTGAAGATGATGAATCCGCGGACAAATCGACTAGCTAAATGTTCCTATCGTGTCCAAGCTTTGAGAGGCACTGTCAGCCAGATTACGGCCGTTGATCAAGCTATGGTCACGACAGTGAGCCAATGGCGAGAATGAAAGCTGTAATGCACGCGTCATAGTGCCTTTCGATGAAGAGAAGGCTTACGCCACTGCGCTGCACTGGACTTGGAGCACGCTGCATGAATGACGAGTGGGCACGGGCACGTGTCCTGGACGTTGAGCCTGGATGAAGACACAAGGAGAGTTAGTTCAGGTCAGCGAGTTTGTTTGTTTGCTTTTCTTTCATTAATAAACTTTCCTCATCGAAAGAAAACCCCGGGGTCGCGACACGAAGCTAACATGAAGTTGGGCGAGACAGAGTTTGAGCAAGGGGATGCAAGGATTCGGTCCGATGGCAACTTGACGGTGTGGTTTTCGTTCATGGTACGGAGCTCGTGTTATCCATCAATTGGCGTTAATGAAGAATACGAAAGACGTGATGGTGATTGGCCGGGACACGTGAGCTATAACACAAGTCTCGACAATGAGACTACATTAGCTCACCCGGTCTTTGGCCAAGATTTAATAACTGGAAAACCGTTCGAAGCGAACTTGAAGTATCTTAGCATGCGCGGATTTAATGCAATCCTTCGTGAATAAGGAAAAGGAAGTCCCAGTGGACGAGCTCGTTTCGTTCCGTAGATGTAAGTAGCGGTCCATACGTCCGTGGAATAAGTCGAGGTTCTTTAAAATGCTTGCCCAGCAGGCACCCCCGAACGAACTTCGCCACCTTATCCTCTAACTTCGTAATGTAGAATCAGGACTTCAGTACTATGATCATTGCTTCTTGACCACGATGCCCCTGCGCACCACAGCGCGCAACCACGAGAATTCTGGCTAATAAATCTTGAGCTCCGATTGGGATCCATGGACGTTCATCGACAAGCAGTACACCATTCTCCTCCGAGAAATCGACTCGAAGTCGAGCCTTCTCTCGTCCAGCTACAGACTGCGCAGCTGCGATGTCCGTCCAGGTAGGAAAAACAAAATCAGCGTCCATCAGAGGGCGAAGCACCGATAGATTTTCAACGAGAACGTTCCGTCGACCTCGTGTTTGGACAGCCGCAACCAAAACTTGCTCTTCACCGCGGACGTGACACCGAGACACAATATCTGGCCACACCAGAAATGTGCTCAATGCGGTAGTAGAGACCACACAGCCGCACCGCCCACCGCTGCAAACGGTCTCGCACACGTTTCTTCAAGTCGGCATGCGGAGAAAATATGTAGATCAAATTCGCGTGATCACAAAACAACCGGAAACCTCCCGGTCGCAGCAGTAAGTATTCAAGATCGTTGCAGGCCTTCACGATCGGGTACGCCTCCTTTTCCACCACCGTCCAATTAAGTTGTGAGCGCTTGAACGTACCGCCTTTGCAAATGATCAACTGGTGGTTCTGGCGCTCAGCAGGAATGCCTGGCTGCCACTGCATGCCTTGTTTTACCATGATACCGAACCCGGAAAGCGACGCATCTGTGAAGACGCACAGTTCAGCGTCCGGATTATGGTGCGCTATCAGCGCAGAGTCTCTCACCAACGAAAGTACATTCTCATAGGCAGCCTTTTCGTCACTATCCCATGATGTAGCCACTTGTAATGCATTTCGGTTCCGTCTTCCGATCCGCTTCTTTTCGGCCTCCAACTTGTCATGAAGCGGAGCCACAGTGCGTGCGTAGTCCGGAAGCGGGTCATGCAACCAGTTCGTTGCAAATACAAACCCCTGCAGATCTGCCACAGTTGCAGGGAGCGGAAGTTCCACCAAAGCGTCCACGCACGCAGGATCATGGCGAATTCCGTCGCTCGAAACTAGTTTGCCACACCACTTGATCGCTAGCTCGAACAGCGACGACTTGAGCATGTTGAGCTTGAAGTTGGCTGCACTGACGATCTCGAAGAACTTTCGAGGCGTCTGCAGGAAGTCATGTATTGTTGGTGCGAATAAAATCACGTCGTCGACCCACACAATGGCCGAATGTGGTTTTAGCTAGGCTAGTTCGGTCTGGACTTGGCTCCGGAAATGCAAGGCGGAGTCCATCGCTCCTTGGGGGACACGATCAGGTGTAAATACACCATCGGGCGTACTAAAAGAAAATATCTCTCGACTTTCTTCATGTAGAGGTAATTGCCAGAATCCCCTAGTGAAGTAAAAACACCCGAAGAACTTCTTACCGTTGAAGGCGTCGGTCGTAGTGGCGACACTAGGCATCGTACCAGCAATGGGGACTGTCATACTGTTGACGACCCTATAGTCAATGGTTAGCCAGAACTCGTCCTTGGTCCCCGGCTTGCGCATGGGCACTACAGCACTTGCCCAGCGAGATGCGTTATTCTGCTCTACCAGCCCATTATCAACCAAATATTGCACATAGGCACGGATGAACTGGGCTTGCAAAGGCGCATACTTGCGTGCAGGGCTCCTGTAGGGCGTTGCATCCACCTTCAGCGACACGCGTAGAGGCTCCACATTGACAGGGGGGTCAGGACCAACTGCATCACGCCAGACGTCTGGAAACTCATCCAGCAAGTAACGAACAGTACCGACATGTTCACTCGGCAGCCCATTGGCGACTGCTCGGTCGAGAAGAGATTCCGGCGAGTTGATTGGCCTATTTAGGTCCGAAAACTCAGCACCTACAGGAAATTCGTCAGGCTCTGCCTCCGGTAGTGGGGATCCAGCCAGTTGAGCCAGTTGTTGCTCCACGTCGATGCCGAGCCCCTTCAGGACATCCCGGCCCAATAGAAACTCATCACCTTTACCAGATAGAACCCAGCACGGTACTGAGCGCAGTGAGGCCAACCCGGCCACTGTAGCTAGCTCGAGATCCAATTTCTCCTCTTGTTTGAACAATTGGAACCTGTTGTCATAACAGCTCTAACAGGCGTACTTAGTGTAGTAGTCTCAAGCGTAGGTTTCACTGCCAGGAGTGAAACCATTTTTTTCTCCGGAACCACGCTTTTGTCGGCGCCGGTATCGGGTGTATAGGGAACATCTAGCAGCTCGTTGATACGTACATCACCGGCAGGTGTCGCATAGCGGGCGGCCTTTGGCCGCACCGTCCTCGAACGCTGCTCTTTAGCCGCGCGAAACTTCTTCACGGCCTCTTCGCGCTGTGCGTCCGTGGCTGTGGGGCAGTCATTGAGCCAGTGTCCTCCCTTGCAGAGTAGACAGCCATCACTAGGAGGAGAGCGCGTAGGGCGGGGTCCCGTCGCAGTAGTGGTCGTCGTGGGCGCCGGCGAGGGTGCTGACGTGGGCTTGGTCGGAGCACCACGTTGTGGTTTCTTTTCTGGCTTGATAGTTTTAGAATCCTGCTTTCCCGCATAGTCCTGCGAAATTCGATGAAACCGCTGTTGTACCTTTGCATGCTCCAGAATGAGGTCGAAAAGGGCGACATCATCAGATTTGCAGTCACGCCTCTCTAAATCGATAAGGCGACCGATCTGAGCCTTGAGGACTGGGGGCTGCAAGTTTTCAACCAGTAGTCGGTAACGGGCCTTAATTCTATTCTTGTAGCCTGCGTCCGCTTCATTCTCGTTCCCAATCAGCCCTTGTAGCCCATTGGCCTCCACAATCCCGTTAAAATCTTCATAGTAGCGGAAGATGCGTGCATCGCAGTCATCAATTGTCATGTTCATCCTTAGGTTCGTACGGAACAGCGACGAGACGTCAGGAACGAACTCGTTTTTGAGCGTACGACAGCGTGCTTCGACAACACTCATAATGTCCGCGTCGGTTACCGACGCAATAGGCTTATTGAGCACGTACTTAGCCAGGATATTAAGCGTCTGCCATCTCACCGAGCCCTTGACAGTTGCAACAACATTGCCGTACGTCTCACCCGTGGTGGAGCATCGGTGGCGAATCTTTTCCACGCAACGCTCCCACTCACGATGCCACTCAATCAGAGCAGCGTGCTCCCAGCTGGTCAGCTCTGGAGCTTTAATTACGTCAACAGGGAAGCCCACCATATTGACGTTGTTCGAACTTATCACTTCAACCGAACTTAATTCGAAGGTATAACAGTCGCCCAAAACCGCGCTTAGTCGAAGCCGATCGCACTTGAGCGCGCAATATCCAGTTGCGCGTGGAAGAGATGACGATCTGGACGGTAGACTGCGTGCAGAAAGGTTGATCAACAAACTCACTCTTCAGAGAGCGCAAAGCTAGCTTTGTCGCGAGACCCGGGGTTTTCTTCCGATGAGGAAAGTTTATTAATGAAAGAAAAGCAAACAAACAAACTCGCTGACCTGAACTAACTCTCTTTGTGTCTTCATCCAGGCTCAACGTCGAGGACACGTGCCCGTGCCCACTCGTCATTCATGCAGCGTGCTCCAAGTCCAATGCAGCGCAGTGGCGTAAGCCTCCTCTTCATCGAAAGGCACTATGACGCGTGCCTTACAGCTTTCACTCTCTCCATTGGTTCATGCCAGCACGCTGTCGTGGCCATAGCTTGATCAACGGCCGTAATCCGGCTGACACTTCGATAAGCTTGGCGTTGATATAACTGGTACTGCAGTCAGTATCTAGGAGTGCAACGCGTAAGGTTTTCGACTTCGACAAGCGAGTACAAAATCACATCGGCCTCTCCCGATTTTCCAAATTCTCACTCAGAATGTGTGTACAACCTTCATATCAGTAGCATCACTGAAATGGTAATCGGTGTCTGAGTCCTCTACTCTGGTCGCGTGTGCTTTCGCCTTTTCCGTCTTCTTTACCACAGGCTTCTAGTTGCCGAAAACGCACGCATTTTTATTGTGTAAAGCACTTTGCATCACTATGGGATGATGTCTTGTGCAGCTTACTTAGCTTCAATTGATATTCGAATTGTGATTTTGCTGGTATTAGTATTGTTGTTTATGGCTACCCTGACTACGGTTGCCACTTTTACGGCAACTATAAGCTCGGTTACCACTACTGCAACTTCCGCGACTTCCGGTATGATTTCGACCACGTTCGCTCTACTTTCCGTCTTTGCGTCGTGATCCAAACTACTTGTTCTGGCGTCGCACAGATTGTCCCAACCTCTCGAAGTACTGTACAGCTTGTGCAATGGTAATGAGGGTCAATCGACGCTTCCCGTATGCACTTTCCAGTCGTTAGGCATCGCGGGCTTAAAGCACCGAATCAAGGACTTATTGTTCAAGGTCATAGCATTCACGGGTAAGGTTTTCATCATCCGTGTTAGCTCGCACATTTGCCGATTGAACTGGTATACTTTCTTACTTCGCCGTTTGGCAAACACGAATAATCCCTCTTCCAACTGCTCGCTGTAGCTCACCGGAACGGACATACCAGCCCAAGCGGAGGAAAAGTGTATTGTGATTATCGGATTGGTAGGATATTGTTGATTGCAATTATTGATTAGATCAATTTCACAATCCACAATCTTATTGATAATATTGCCTCTATAGTCCTACAGGCCAATCAGACTCATTAAATATTGATTCCACCAATATGATTGTCTCAAACCAAATCACAGGGGAAAAGCGATGGTTCGCGCGCTCTTCGCGCCAAAACTATGGTTCTTGGGACTTCCTCTGTTTACCATCCTCCTCACGCTTCGATTTGCATCTTGCTATTCCACTACCTATCTTCAGCCACCTCCAATTATCGCTTAAACATGAAAAACGGCAATATTGTACGCGAGCTGTTCAAAAACACAACTACCACTGATCGCACTTGCTGTATATGCGATCTAATCGTCAAGCAACCCAAACAAGCTGGCCACAAAAACCTGATCTCGCACCTTCAGGCCCACCACAGTGGGAGTGACGATGCGGGGGATGAGTGTATTAGGAAAACATGTACGTCTATAAGCAGCATGCTCGTTCGCAAGGACGCTGGTGATACTTACGACCTGGCCAAGATCGTTGCACTCAAGACCTTTCTGGTTGCGCATATCGATGACCCTGTGATACGTGCTGTTGTACGCTACAAACCAATGTATCGCAAGACCCTACTGAAGCGAATGATTATGGTTGCTAGCGTGGTGGACGTCAAGATAATGCACGAGCTATTGGGTGAGAAGTGTGCTCTTGGCTTTGACGGCTTCACGGATACTGCTGATCACGCTATTGCCGTTTTCGCTGCCTCGAAAAATGACATACGACTCCTGGCATTCTTTCCTTTTCTAGATGAGGCGTCGATGGCTGCAGCTGTGCACATTGAATTCTTAGATATGGTTCTCGATCGCTACAACCTAGCCATCCATAGTATGGTCGCCATCGTAGCTGATAACATGGAAATCAAAAAAGCGATTTCCCGTCGAATTTCGATTCCATTGATGGGATATGCTGCCCACCGCTTTCATCTTGCTGTTCCCAAATGATTAGAGCCACATATGCCTCTTTTTAAGAAGGTTAGCGCTTTAATGAAGAAGCTGAAGACTGTGAAGAGGGTGGCTAAGCTGAGACTACGTGGATGTTATTACAAACTTTTTCCAGTGTACGAGCTTCGATGGAGCGGCTGCTACCGCGTGTTGAAGCGCATTAAGGACCTGCAGCCGTACATGCACCTGTTCATGGACGACAGTTCGGTCGAAGACGACAACAGTGACGGTGACGACGCCACTACCAATCCAAATACCGAAATCCTCGGGTGTATTCCACTTGTGACCTCATAACCTCACCAAGTGAGCAGCCTAAAACTTCGCGCTACTCAGAGAAAAGACTCTATTTGATGTGATAACATGCTGGCTTCAACGTCAGGATATGACAGTTACCACCGTTCGTGACATCTTCGATGTTGTTCTGGATTACTATGATGACATGGAATACTATTTGCCCGCTGGTGGATAAGTGGTTGAGTGTCCAGAACTTTAAAGCAAGGTTGGCCAAAATTCAATGTGGAGTTGAAAAAACGCTGCCTATAACGGGGAGACACGCAGTTGCTCGTTTACTGCGCTCACCGGCCTGGAAATTTGACCAACGGCGAGATACTGTACCAGCGTCGCGCTTGAAGCGAAAGAGAACTGCTGAGAAGCTTGAATAAGCCATCGCTAAGAAGGCACGAAATCGCCAAGTACATCGAAACAAATGGATTCCGGCGACATGAATGCAC